GAAGAAAGTCGTCTATATATCTGTTTAAAACCTTACGTACAATCTACTCGTAAACCAGATATAGGACAGTTACATGATAAGGTACAACCTAACTTCTCCCCTCAAAACTAAGACCGCAAGGGTAAATTCTGTAACCATACTTTTGTTTAAGAGTTGACTTCTAGATTTGGTAGACTGGCCTTGCCTGTCTGATATTAGATAGAATGTTCTATCGTTAAAATGCTAAATGTCTAACGGACCCGGTTTAACGATAGAATGCGTTCCTTGTATTGTCAATGTTGCAAAGAAAATACGGGAGATAACTCTAATTCAGTGCATTTACTATGAAAAATTCCGAGAGTTCCGAATGTCAACATGGTGTGTAAATTTGAAACGAGTAAAAAACGTTGGTGAAAAAGTGTTGAATTCTTCCATTATATGGATTAAATTTTTAGATGAAAGGTATTTATAGTCTCAAAAAGGTTTGTTATGATTAATTTGACTGTTATTTTCAATGCAACTTCATTAATTTTCTCCAGAATCGTTTCGGAGCGATTCTGCAATTTTCTGCTACAATACGGGTATATGGGAGGCATTCTAACTGTGGTTAGGGCCTGTCCCGAGACACAGTTAGATTATTCTAACTAGTCTGATATGCACGATATACATGAACATATGAAAGAGACAGGCAATACCAGTCTATAGATTTGGTCACGAGTTGACATACTAGGTTTGAGTGGACTTGGTTATCAGTCGGTCAGGTTATGTATTGACTTGATACCATATGAATTAACTGCAGAAGACTGCATCTGAATCTCTAAAAAATCATACATTTAATTCTTTCTTAGTTGTAAAAATTGACCTTTAAAATCACATGGGTTTAAATGCCTGAATCGCTGAGAATTTTGAGTGTTTATTTGTTTCACATCATCCTTATATATTCTGATAATTGTTTACATACCCTCTGAGTCATGGTAGTGTACTGATGATCTGATGGTTCCTTGGGAAACGGCTTTTACAACTTAAAGCATAATATTTTTGCTGAAGTATTCACACGATATATATGATAGATTTTCATCTGGGTTTGTCATAAACTTCATCATGTTCATTGTCCATCACGTTTCCTTGCTTACAGTCACACGTTGAACACATTGGGGCTCTTCTTCCCAAATCGCTTCAGAAATGGGATAAACCATCGCATCGTTTGGTGCAATCAATACCTCATAAGAATTATCTGGATCGCAGTGGGCAACTAGCGCCTTTGTCAAACAACTCTGTTACGATAACTTCGCAAGATTTACTTCCAACTTGCTCTGTGTCGCCATTTTTGTTTTCAATTTTACGATTGGAATTTGACAGAGCGAAATTCGTTAAAAATCGCTTAATTTCTTTCGGTAAAAAATCTAAACAGATAAAAGAAAGTTATTTAATACAAAATCAAAATAAAAATAACAAAAAATTATTTTTTATGGCTTAAAATAGCAACGCTGAAATTAAATTCTCCATTTACGCCAGCATAAGAAGGATAATCCTACTTCCGGTAGCATTACTAGCATTGACCTAGTTTTGAACCAGCAAAGGTAGCATCAGGATAAGGATCAGATCAGGATAAGGATAACTAGCATTAAATCAGCAAGCAAAGGAAGCATTCAAATCAGCAAGCAAAGGAAGCATTCAAATCAGCATTGATGCTGTAAAAAAATTAGTTCCCTGCCATGTATAGGCATGATATTATACAGTAAATTTGAGAAAATATTAACTTAAAATCTGTATCTAACTCCGTTTAATGATGTTTTTTGCACACAATGTGCAAATCTTCATACCAATCGCTTTGCACTCTGAATATTTTGAAAATAATTTTGCAGTGTCAATGTTAACCTCGTCGAACATTTTAGGTGCCTCAGACACAATCTTACTAGAGACTAATTCGAAGATCCAAGTTTGTTTTGAAAAAAGAAAAAGCTTTTGTTTGAGTAGCTTTATTTTTCATGCAAGGTTTTGATATGTGCTTTAGATTGGGTGATCAAGCTTGGGCCAGCTACATATGGAAGTGAAAATAAATACCAATATGCTGTACTCAGCAACAACGTCAAGGCCACAAGCTTCGTCCTTGCCCGTGATCCAGAAGTGTTTAAAAGAGACTATGTGGCTGAAGTTACTTAATTTTTAAAGGAGAAGGGTTTTACAACTATAGTAAACAAACCAGTAAAAATTTATCATGAAAGTGATTGTACAAATAATGATCAGCACCAATAGATGATTAAGTGCTAACATAAAAACTTATCATGAAAGTCACTGTACATACAATGATCAATTTAACACAATTAGATAAGTGCTTTATCTATATATACCTGTATATTACAGAAAAACAAATAAATTAAAACATGAGATTTAGGAGTTTACAGCAGTTTATTCATTTTATGTGTACAGAAATGAATACATACTACATATCTTTTTTTAAGAATTGATGAATAATGTAACTTAATGTTACTTTTATGAGTATGATTGTACCTTAGTTACCATTATTGATAACCCTTAATTACTACTAATGATAATGATGATACCTTTGCTGTAAATCTTTATAACAATTTTGATTAGATTTTCAAATTAACTCTCATAAAATTACATTCTTGTAAAAAAAAATTAAATACAATGTATGTACAGAATCTACTTGCTTCTTGCATTATTAAACAAATAAATCGATGATACTAGATTTATTCTTAATTATTTTTTTTTCAAAAATTCAACTAAAGTGGGATTAGGTTCTCTCTTTTCACATATGTTTTCCTAAGAATAAAAGTAAGAAAGGTGAAAATTCTCTGAAAAATCAAAACGCCTCTTGATCAAGAGTAAAATATATTCCTTTATGTAAAAGTTAATTTGCCGTCTGCCTAGATGTTAATTTTGCACTATGTGTAAAAACACTTTCTTGTAAATCTTACTTAATCTCAAAGACAATATTCACAAACGTGTATAAATGCACGTGCAATGTACAATTACAAAATTGCCATCAAATGTATATTTCATTTGTACATATAACATATAAAAATAATTTCTACCAGGAGTTTATAATTTTTTTAAGAATTTGTAAATATATACTTGTAAATAACCAAGAAAGATGGTGAGGTTTGCTTTACGATTTTATATATATCGTTGAATCATTGAACCATATACAGGTAATAAAACAATAATTGCTGGGATTTCTTCCAATTATGGAATTACGAGGGATCGGTAAATATTGTATTCCTCAGGTGGCTAAATCATCGTGTTGACCTCAAAAGAGCAATAATTGTTTAATAATTGTTTAATATTTGCAAAATGCATGGAGACAATTTTTTTCTTTGAGGAAAAAGAAGATAGGAAAACAAGGCAAACAAAATGCTTTGATGTGACAAAAAAGAAGGTGAAATAATTAAATCTCAATTATAACAAGACTTCCCTTGATATTTCATCAACATTAATGTATACTTTATGAATAACCTCCACATTTTGCAAAAATCTCACAAAGATTGAAAATATGTCTGTTAATAATATACACACACCAAAGAGTGCAAAAATGATCATTTTTTCATATTATTACACATTTTTAATATAAGTGGGTCTTCGCTCCAATCTGTATGTCGTTACGAATTTTGTGGCGTAATGGTTAATGTGTTAGTCTCAAACAAGAATGATATTCAAGTGCTTTATTGCTTGAGTTCGAAACCAAGGAATACCACATTAATTTTTGATAATAGAAGAGTTCTTGCCGAGAAAAAATTTTGCAGAAAAGTTTTCAATTATAAGAAGTTCACTCTAAATACTACATTCTCAAATTTATTATGATTTTATACATAAAAGCTATAGGCATTCTGCACGCCTTGTTCCCCCTCTCCTTTCCAATCAAACTTACAAATATTCAAGTTTAAGTACGAATAAAATTCATCAGTTATATTTCTTCATTTGTCAGCTATTCGACTTCTGCTGAAAGATTGTTTTATTTTTTTTTTTTCAAGTAGCTCAGGTAATAATATAGACTACATTGGTCATTAAGGAATAGCAAAATAAAAAAATAAATAAATTAAAAAAAAACGTAGTTCCGACGGTTGTTAATTGTTGACATTACAATTAATAACTTTTGATTCAAATGTCCCTCTACTTTTATTTTCGAATCGGTTTAAAAATATCCGTCTTGATAATTATAATGACAAATGAATTGACAATGACAATTTAAGGACATGAATAATTAATGCATAAATAAATGCTATCATAAATTGAACTACAGGATAGTATCTTCATCAAAATCTTTTGCCTTTTCATCCTCCATCATTCCTAATTTTTCATTTGTTATTTTACGCATGCATGATCGGCGAACATACATCACTTCCGTAACGATGGATACCAAGGACAGCAAAATAAAAACAAGATAAACGATAAAAATTCCACCCATATTCTCAAACTTTAATTCAGTTCCTCCGGTAATTCGAGAATGATAGCAATCTGCGTGATTCCAATACCTGCGTCGAAACTTCGTGATTACTCCAGATTCTGCCATTTTCATAATGCTGAAAAATACATGTATATCGTATATGAAAAGAAAATATGGTAGCAAGATTAATTGTCTTCTGGTCAAAATATTGCTTGTTTTTGCTTATATCATGAAATTGTAAACTAGAGTTTGATATTATGCAGAACTAGAAACACCACAGGCCAGTTTATGCCAGAGATTCAAACAGAAAGTCCTAACATCTCTTTGTCAGAGTAAAATAAAATTACTTTAACAGTTCATAAGTATCATTTCCCGTTTTTGGCTTTTGTTTCAGCTCAGCGTCATTTGATTTTGTTTTGATTCAATATCAAGGTATAACACAAATAAAATACATGTTTTAGAAATTTTAAATATTAAAAATCAATATTTTAATTATTAGATTAATTCTGATTGTAGGAGGAATCATATTTACCGTTATTAAATTTTGTTTGCTTTACATATTAGTACAACTTTCAATTTTTGAAAACCATTACTTTAAAAGTATTTAAAATTATTACTGATTGTCGAAGGCATCTTTAAACGGAAAATTTTTGCCGACGACGAAAGATAGCTGTGTCAATAAAAATGATTCTTGTGCAATTTCCAACTCGTCACATTTATCCTGAAGCTCAAATCGAATTTCAGATGAGTCAGATAGAAAAGCATATTTTCCAGTTTTAACCAACGTAAAAGCTTCATCCATAGTTGTAACCTTTGGCATGTCAAACATCATTTCCCAAATTCTCTTATGAAGTCCTCCTTTTGCAGTCTGAAAAAATAAAGTTTTCTTCCGATACAAGTTGAATAAAAAGAAAATAAAAATGCCTCTCAGCAAGAGAACAGCAACAACATTTACACTTACCTTAAACAAATGAAAAAGGCTTGTTCCTTGCAAGACAAGGGGTTTATAATGTGTCTGTGAAGCCAACTCCTCTAAATTCTTTAAAGGTGCATTGGAAAGTGAAACTGTTAAAAATGCCGCCAAGGAAGAGGCATACAAAGCCATGATCAGCGTAATAAATATCCACCAAAATCCTAATATTACATATCCTTGAAGGAATCTGGGTCGAGGACCATCCTCTGGAACGGACAAAGAATTTATATTCAGGAGGCTCGGAATCAGTTTTTGAATTGATATACATGTATGTGCATTTCAGTGTTATCCTATATTCAAATTTATTTTAAAATACAGAGACATGTAACCTCTTGAAATGGACTATATGCAATGTATCTGCAGTATAATCGGAGTTCATCGAGTTACATTAATCAGCACTCTATGAAATATTTACCTTGCCCTAAAATTGAGCTTAATGCAACCCACAAGTTTCGAGAAAGCGATGCTTCTTTGTGTTCAGCATATGGACTCAGTTTGGCAATGATTGAAAGAATTATTCCTGTCACCACTATGGAAACTACTACGGCAACCCAGCACACAAGACTAAAAGGACGGAAGACATGAAACATTTGTTCGAGAGGAGGACTGTCAATTTTCCTCATCAGAAAGCCTATTCCTTCCTCCTGGAATGGTGCCAAGAAATCAACAACTTTAAGACGATCTGCTGTTCTAGTGACAGGCCCTACAGCTATGTCAGCCTCCTGAGGAAGAGTGAAAAAGAGTAAGAAATTATTCTGTTTTTTTTTCATTGTAAAATAAGTGCAAAAAAGATTTCAAAACATACCTTTCGCATGACCATTCCAATCATTCCTGTTGCATCAGAGAAATCGTCAGTTGGATTTCCGTATAAGCCGTCAACTGAATCTTTAATAAGGTATCTTTTTGAAATAAAGAAGGTTATTTTTAATAATATAATGCTATATAAAGAATGTCAATAAATTTCATCTGAAGTAATTTCTTAGTGTTCTGAAATTTACTCGTATAAAAGTTAAAGAAGGAGAAAATACTTGTATTTTAAGAAATAATCTCAAAACGCCTTTCTTTTACCAACCGAAAGTTAAGGGCCTTTGCAAGATCCTCTAAAATGTCATAGCAAAACCCAGAATACACCACTTTCCCCGACTCCGCATCTATAGATTTTTTTATGTAAGGGTTCGCCTACAGTGGTGGTAATATTAAAAGCTTTTATGGTATTATTTAGGATTTTTCGTCAAAATCGGTGTATAAATTTACGATTATTAACCTTTACTTTGCTATTTCTGTTTGGACGTAGAAAGAGTCAAAAGATTATCAACTATTTAATTTTAAAGCAGGAATGTAAAATTTAAAACAATTACTTTTATTTTCATTTGTTATTTGTTTTAATTTTGTACGTACTGCAACAATAGCAATGCTGAGACTTGGGTTTTCAAAATCTTTAAAAATATTTTTAAAAAGTCGTTGATCATAAATTTTCAAATTCTCATGATACTCTGCCACTTTATCTAGGCTTCTCTTGTTTCCATTCGTGCTGTAAACGTCTGTTACGCTCGAGAATGATAATTTCATTTGCTTCAACAAATTCTAGTAATGAAAATATAGAAGATTAATATACATAACCAAGTTTATTTGCTTGCAAATGAAGAAGTATAATTCAAGATTACGAATATGTTTTTTCAGAGATAAATATTGAATTAGACTAGAATAAAGAATATATTAAATGTAGATTATGAATATAGTATAAATAGTATGATTTTTTTTTTTTGAAAACATACTACGAGGGTTGTCCCAGAAAAACACAAGCATCTTAAATATTTTATAAATTTCTTGGCCAAAATTATTCATTTTGGCACTATATTGGGAAATGATATTTTCGTCATTTTGACCAAATACTATAAGGATGGAATGTCATATGGATTTAGAAACAGCATTTAAAGGGTGTTAAATATCGATGCCGATGCGCACGGCAGTTTCTTGACTTTCAAAATTAGCATTGCCATCTATGTTTTCTTAATTTGCCAGGCTATATGGAAATACATGTATAATGTGACAAAAAATACATCCATAGAAACTGTACGATCTAGAGTACTTCTGTGTAAAAAAATACTGATACTTTGACTTCATAAATGAAATATATGACGTTATATGACCAAAGACTATGAGTTAGATTTTGTCAAAAACGGCGAAATCCGACGATAATGCGGCGCACCAAATTATCACTCAGTATTGTGTGGAGCAGGGTATGACTCCTGTTAATACGGGAAAAGAGCTGGAACGAAGGACGAACACAAATACATGTATCAAACACCGGTTTATACATAGAAAAAGAGGTTCAAAGATGGATGGACTTGTTATGTAATGGAAAAAAGCGTTTGCTAAACCAACAAAAATGACGACAAACTGGACAAATCTAGAGCTGGGCGTCATACATGAAGACTGTCGTTAACTATGCGAGCAGTTAAATTTATGATCGGGGTTGGGAAATTGTCTATTAAAAGAATTAATTCCTTGATTTATTATTAACTGTAGAACGTGTGAAAGGGATAATTCGGTAACTAAAAGAAAATTAAATGCAGTATTGAATTTCTGCTTCGAACGAATATTTTAAAGACTCACGATACCTGAACAAATTCAAAAACTCCATGAGCTACGTTTTTGCGTCGTCGGTGTTGCCCCGTGAGCTTTTTTGAATGACTGGTTTATCAGAGAGAAACATTTTATTTATAAAGATATTTAATTGAAATTTCAGAGAATTAAGTTAAAAATGTTAATTATGACGCATGCCAATTTTTACTTTATAATATAAGTGAACCGAAAAATATTGAAAATGTTCGGCGTTTTTCTGGGACAATCCTCGTATTATAATTTATTTATTTTCTAAAACGGTTATTCATACATGCCTAGAACACTGTGGGTAAACAAAGACAAGGAACGAAAATTCATTGCTGTTTTCATTCAAAAAACGGTAAAAATCTATAAAAATTCTATTAAAACTCAATACATCCTCTCCTCATTCCTTTCTAAAAGAAAAAGTTCAGGTTAAAAAAATATGTAGCAATTTAATTGTAGAGGAATATCGTAATGCAGATATTTCAATGTTTTGCACTGTTTATGACATTTCTAAAATCTTATGGACAGATATTCTTGTGTGAAAATAGAAAATCCTTCCATGATATCAAAATAATTTTAATTTTAATTTAAAATAATTTTCTCACGCTGATTTCGTTTGTAGCTCTATTTTGACCTAGAAAATATGCTGAAATACCTTCAATGCTGTTATGAAAAATATGTCCGTTGTTGAATTTTTTATGTTACAATTGAATTCATCATTAACTTCCATCGTGAAATTTGTCCTGTATTCAACTCTGTATTCTTGTTTGGTCAGAAACAGATTAGAACTTTCAGACTGTAACAAAGGTACATTATACCGTCAATAAAAATTTAAAAAAAAATCTTTTTATCATCATAGTTTTAATCAAACGTGCTAAAATTTTCACGTTTGGAGAGTTTTACATGATACTCTTTTACATTAACTACTTACGTATTCACTGTTGAACGTTGAATTTGATGACGTCATTAGAAACAGAATATATTTTTCATAAATATCAACCATCAGTGAATCTGCAAAGGCGTGCAAAGAATTCCCTTTGATGCTTATAATCCAGTAATTATTGAACATTAACTTTTCCAATGAGGTTATCTGAAAGAAACATTGTACATATATAAGGTCATATTCTATTAAATCGTAATTATAAGAAACAGCACATATAAGTTAGCCAATAATTTATTTTTTATAGTTTTATTATAAATATTTTAGCAACACGGACGTCTAAAACATCAGAGGTGAGACCAGGTGCCATGGAGGAGTAAACATCTCCTGTCGACCGATCACACCCGCCGTGTGCTCCTTGTCATGATCGGGTAAACAGAAAAACAGTAGATGATTCAGAGAGAAGTTAATGGTCTAACAATTTGTATGAAAAATGTCAGTCAACAATCGACCTAACGTAAAATTTTGTGATTTCACATTTTCTAAAAGTCCCTTGGCATTTTTAAGTATCCACTTCTGATTAACACCACCTCTCAAATGCGTTGTTGTACAGTACTCCTGAAGTTTCTCCTTCACTGCTATTGAAATTGTGGAGAGAAGTAAAGAAAGAGGCTTAGTAGAACATTTAGTAGAACCAGCTATGCATTTTACTTTGTAGGGATTGTTATGTACTTTTAAAATCAAATTCAGTTTGATTGTTGGGAATATTAAAAATATTTAAAACTGACAAATTATTTTGAAGAATTTCCTCCATAGAAAGGAAGCTGCTATGAGTATTAGATGGATAACCACTTCCAGAATTAAATCGTTCCTCAAAAAACAAATATAATAATGAGCGTTACAAAGACAATGTTGTTTTTTGCTTTGTCAGTTGGGACCAGTACATATTGATCGTGTAGTCTATCTAATTCTTTTTTCACTTTTGAATTATTAAAGGCAGCAGGTGAGATATTTATTTGTTCAGAATTCATATTGCCCCTAAACCGTTTAATGCAAGATTTCAACATCCATTTGATACATTTAATCCATTCTGATAAAGTGTCAGGGTCTTCTTTTTCATGTATGACTAATCGACTGGCATAATCTTCAACAAAATATATATAATATTCATAAAATGTTGACCCACTTGAAAGATCGGGTTTCCCTTAATTTTGGCCCATTTAAAGTAAGTGATTTAATGTTCTCATTATTTACGTCACAAGTAATGACTGTCTAGCTGGACTATAAGTGTAGGGAGAAGAAGGAGAATTATGTTTCAGATATATGATAGCTAAGCAGTGTATAATTTTTTGGCAATTAAAAAGTCTGGAAGCAAAAGACAATTTTGTAAGAAATACAAGATATAGACTTTAACTAGATCAGTTGAAGTTGAATAGAACATAAAAACACAAAATTTGATGTGTGCATTATTTTGACCCCTTTATTTTGTCTTTAACTGTAGATTTTTCGAAAAAACAAACAATACTCTCTATTGGCCAATTTCAACTAATCTGACCAGAAAAATACTTCCTACTAGATCGGTACATCCCTAACACAGTTTTCTGAAGAATATCGACCCAATATCAACTGAAGAGTTTAAATATATGCAAATGTGTATACTAGGTACCTCTTGTAAGAGTGAACTTATCGTGTACTCCTCGGCGACAACGTAGAAAATGTTTCTTGTATAGCTGATATGCCGCACTACGCTTCTAACACTCTCATCTGTAGCCACATGGATCAACTGAGATGTTACAGAATCAAAGCTAAGGCGCACTATTAAGTCTTGCAAACAATAAAGACCTGAAAAAAATTCAACCTTTTTATGCATATGTCTCTATATCGTCATTACACACTGTAGACTGATACTGGAAAATAACAAGAAGGACACATGTAAGGATAAAACACTGGTGCTCTGAAAATACGATGTATATTCTGTTCATCAAAATAAATGCTTATATACCTTTATCAATATTTTTCTCCTCTGAATATTTAAGAAAAACTTCGAATGCGCACCAAAAGGACAGGATGTAAAATATTTTACCAGGGAGTGGTGAGGAAGTACGATAAAGTCTGCTTAATTGCTCTTATTTTCTTGTTCTTCTTTAGAAAAAAAATTAGATTTATTCTGTCATTATATTGTACATCCCAGTATCTGTTCTGTTTTATTTTCTTGTATAATTTCCCCGCTGAAGTATCTCAAGAATGATAGTTTAATAGATTTATCTTTGACCCAACCAAATTTCACTGAAATCCCGTTAAAAGAGTTTAAGAAATGTTGCAGTCAGACAGAAAGATAAAATACAGACAAACGTTTTGGATAGATGGATGGATATACCTACTTAATGTATCATCATAAAGAATGTAGACCTGTTTCCACATTTTCTGCTTTGCAATTGAATGAAGTAGTTCATTTGTTACTCTACAATCACTATGCATCCAAGATCCACCTTGCACTTGCACATAATGGCATAGTTCCTGAGTTGGGAATAGAAGTGGAATAAGAGATGGCGGTGTATTCCACTCCATGATCCCACCGTCACAAGGCACTGAAGCAACAATTGACATTATCTTGGATGTTGGAAGGCTGCACACTGTATTAAGAAGAAAAGTTTTCGCTGTTTATGTTAAATTTAAAAAAAAAAAAGATGAATCATAGAGTTATGGGATTAACTGCTATGAAGGCTTCAATCTTTGACCTTAATATTTAGGTCAAGGTCATTCCAAATTACAGAAATCTGCTTTTTTTATGTCTCTTTTGTCTTTTAACATTATATTATAATCATTGCAACTCCAAAAGGGGTCATAGATGGGAGTCACGAAAGCTAGTTTTGAAATACTTTTACAAGAGCACATCAAACAATGTTCTTTTATTAAAGTATTTCAGAACTAGCTTTCTTCACTCCCAACTCTAACACCCAGTCGAGTGCTTGTACGATTAACCGTATCTAATTTCATCACCAAGCCTAACTTCTCATAGAAACATAGGATTGGCTGCAATATGATATTGGACCTTTGATCTTGAAAATTCGCTGAGGGTCATAGGTTAAGATCATTGTAAGTTAGAAGAATAGTTGATATTGACGGTTTACACAATGACCTTGACCTTGACACTGACCAAAGGGTCAGAATTAAAAATTTAAGGACACGTTTCTAGTTTCATCTTTCGGTGAATATCTATATTTGCAGCATAAAATGAAAAGATACTTTTTTTCAAGAAATGACCTTGAACTTTGACCCTTCACCCAAAGGTCACAATCATCCTAAAGGACGTGGAATTTAATACAACGTCAAAATTATAAAAGGTTTAGAATAAATAATTTAATCCTTTCCCCCTTCAAGAAAATCACACCAATAGCAAAGTGGAATTAATATTTCTCTAAACTTCAAAACAATATAGTCTGGTCCCGATTTTTAAAAAGAATGCTAGAAATAAGTTTTAACGGCAAATAATTATTATTTGGTCCAGCATATGATTTTAAGCTGTTTTGAGTATGCTGAATCCGAAAAGATATGCTGGCCTTCATGAAAATGGCGTTAGAAAGGTCAAAATGGCGATTCAAAATGGCGGACATCCAATTTTTCTAATTTTCTCTTGATGTCTTTCATATAGATGAAGGAATGTGTGAATATCACACTGAGTATAATGCAACTATAAAAATGATAAAGGAATGCTAACATTATTACTTTAATTCAGAAAATTTATAGTCGATTCGAATTTTCTCTGATTTATTTATCTATTGTTTCTATATTCTGCTTTGTTCAGGATTTTACATTTGCAAATATCCATACGCTGCAGATTGGTATTTTTTCCTCTGCATCTCACTATTCTACAACTGAATGATGGTACAGCTGTAAGTTATAATTTGAGTTTCGGAAAAATCTCTGCAATGACCCATTCATAAGTTTGCAGCAAACAACCAAGAACATCCATTCCATCTCATTGGACCTAGTAATGTAAGGTTACCACTACATCGCCTATCTTTATATCACATACTGCCTGGCACTGTGCTCGCTTTACATGCATATAAAAAGAATGGGAAGGTAATTCCTAAATTATTTTCGATGCATGTTAGTGGACACTGTGTATTTGTTACTCAACTTAAAGACAATTTTTGGGGTTTTTTTGGATCAGTTAATTTTTCTTCTCCTCAACCATCTATTGATATGTACTACAATGAGTGAATTGTATTAAATATATTTTTCTGAAGCTCTGGAAAAGACAGCTTTATCGCCAAAACAATTTAAAAGGAATAATTGCAGGCTTTCGAAAGGTTCCACTTGCATTCTGCAGGTGTCTATTTCTGGAAAGAATGAGCAATGACACGTCCATATATGATATGCTATAGTATGAGAACAGCTAAAGGTGCAAGAGAGCACTCAAGAACAGTACTAGAGCACTGCTTGAAGAACTTCTTGAAGAACTACAGACTGCTTCTTCACTTAGCGCAGAATGCTTTAATCAATTTCATTCTCGCATTTCACTCAATCTCTAACCATCCACTCACCCCTTCTCCCTCCCTCCCTCCCACATACATAGCGAGCAGTAACAATGTTTTTCATAATGGGTGGTGGGAGGAGACAGGATAATATGTTTTTTCCCAAGGTATAGGAAAGTTAATAGGAAGAGGATTTTCTCTTGGTGTCCCTTTGTTCTGAGTGTTGCTGATTATATTGATTAGTCCATTTAATGATCAAACAAAAAATAATGCTAGAAAAGTTTCATTTTTTCTGGAAATAGTTAAAATAAACTCGACTTGTTTTCCTCATATTTGACCGTGTTCCAAAGCTTTGAACCCCTGTTCACCTAAAATCACTGCACTTCCACTTTAACATCCCTCAGTACACCATCAAATATAACTGAAGAAATTCTTGCCCGACTTCATTGAACCCTTTGCACTAGCTTTTGAAATTAGCAATTACTAAGAGCTTAGTATTTCCCCCCCCCCCAACATCCTCTATTCCAGCTTTAAATGCTACATGTTCAGTCAGTCTTCGGAATTTTGGTCTTCTCAACAGCTCAAGGAATAACACATTTATGTTCAAATGTTAAAAGACTATTTTGTTTTCCAAAACCTTATGCAAAATGGAAAAAAAAAATCTCTGATAAGACATGAAGCTTTCTCTTTTGTGACCATATAGATTTGTTGTCTCTTTGGGTAGAAAGGTCATTTCATTAGCAAGAAAATTCTCAAACTTTATCATCTGGAATCACATTGTGTGCATTTTTTGTGAGAAAAGTTGTAATTGTGCGATCTAAGAGCTGCAGATTCCATGTGATTTCTATCACGTACAAGCTTTCGTACCAATAGGCCGAAGCCATTCTTGACTTTGATCTAGTTAATACTTCTCTTGACAACAAAATTTTCTTGAACACTCCAAGAACTTTACAAGCAACTTGATCCACACTACTTTGTAAGGATATTGTATGGTTGTATCAAGAATCGAGGGGGGATGAAACACAAACATTTTCCTCTTTCCAATTTTGTAAATTTCAAAACAATAGGCACCGAATTCCATCCGAGTATGACAAAAAAGTATGTTTGGATTATCGATTTTGATTTTGAACATATACAATATTCCTTTAAAAAAAGGAATTTTGCAGTCGCTTAAATTTAAATCTAACAATACAAGATTATCCGTTCACAACATTAAATATTTGTGAATACAGTTGATTTTTGTTGGCTATAAATAACAAAATGCAAATGCAGGGACGCAGAATCAGAGCTAGACAATCAAGAATATTTATGGTTTACGTATATTATACTGGTTTTGATAATTCTTAATAAATATGTTGATATATAGTATATTACATTCAAATTTATATGATTTAATAATTCCTAGCTCTCTGATTGGTTGTGGTCCATCATTTTAAAAACCATATACTAAGTTAAGTTGCACTAGACCTTCCACATGAACATAAACATTTATTTTTTTTCTACACTGCATGGACTAAAAGTAGATCAAAAATTTCCAACAACTGAGATAATTTAGCAACCCTCGAACTACAATGTTCACTCGCCTTTGGGCTCCGGGAATACTGCTCTTGGGGTAGCTTAATTGTCATATTGTCCTCCAAACAGCAATTATTGTGTGATATTATTAACTTTTTATATTAAGAAGCATGGTTAGATAGGTAATAGGTAAAAGTTCTTTGTAGATGTAGTCAAAAGCTTATCTTAATAATAGAAGTAATAAAACAAAGATCAGTGTCATAAAAATTATGTCATTAACAACAATATCCTCAAAGTTTTATTGAATATTTAAACATTTTTTTTTATTAATTTAAAAATGCAAACTGTAATTAATTTCCTTTTATTTTCTGCAGAACGACTCAGAATTAAGCAGTTTGAGTATTTTATATAATTCTAGCGTTCGCCATTTTGAGCTAATTAATACAACTTTCAAATTTCAACGACTAAATTTTCCGAACTAAATTGATAATGTTAGTGTTCTGTTATCATTTTCATAATTGCATTACGCTCAATAAGATATTTACACATCCATTCTCCTATTTGAACGACATTAAAAAATAATTAGAAAAAATGGATATCTATTATTTTGAATCGCCATTTTGACTTATAAATTACAGCTGCACCATCATTCAGATGTAGAACAGTGAGATGCAGAGGAAAAAATACCAATCTGCAGTGTATGGATATTTGCAAATGTAAAATTCTGAACAAAGCAGCATATAGAAACAGAAGACAAATAAATCAGAGAAATTTCGAATTAAGTGTAGAAACGACTAAATTTTCTGAATTAAAGTAATAATGTTAGCATTCCTTTATCATTTCTATAGTTGCTTTACACTCATTGAGATATTCACACATTTTTTTCTCCTATCTGAAAGACATTAAGAAAAAATTAGAAAAATTGAATGTCCGCCATTTTGAATCGCCATTTTGACCTTTCTAACGCCATTTTCATGAAGGCCAGCATATTTTTTGGATTCAGCATACTCGAAATAGGTGAAAAAACTATGCTGGACCAAATAATAATTATTTGCCGTTAGAAGTATTTTTTTCTATAAATCGGACCAGACTAATACCACGGATCGACACAAAATGTTTGGGAAGTCATTTAGTCAAAACTACAGAGAAACTTTCTAAAGACTTTAACGTACAGTCTCTCAAGTACATGAATATAGAAATTTTGTATAATATCATCAAAAAGTAAAATACTTTTGCATCTGAAATTTAGGTGCTGATGAATTGAACAAAACCCTTTTATCGGCTTTTTCTTCAGATGTTGGTAATAGCATTTAATTCTCATGATGTGATATGATAATTTAATACCAAACATTCTAAAAGACACCTTTCTTGTACTTGTGGAACTTAATCATTTCAATTTTATTTAGACCGTCAAGTTAGTTCAGTCGGTAGAGCGCTCGCTCCGTGATCGGAAGGTCGTGATTTTGAATCTTGGCAGCGACTAACCTAGGTCGATGAAAAATAGATAGCAACTCTTCCTTCGCAGTGCGCTCGGCAATTTGAAGTGAAAATTGCGGGTCCTTCGGATGAGACCTTAAAAACCAAGGCCCCGTGTTACGACAGGCGTTGGCACGA